GTGTGTGTGTGTGTGTGTGTGTGTGTGTGAGAGTGTGTGTGTGTGTGTGTCTGTCTGTGTGTGTGTGTGAGAGTGTGTGTGTGTGTCTGTCTGTCTGTCTGTCTGTCTGTGTGTGTGTGTGTGTGAGTGGTGTTACCTGAGTGTGTCGAGCTCCTTCAGGTGTTTGTGCTGTGATTTTAGAGCGCTCTCTAGCTCTAGTTTAGTCTGGTTGAGTTCAGTCTTCATCTCCTCCAGTCTATCAGAGCCGGATTCGACCGGCATCGCTTCAACCTGCCTCTCGCTCTCCGTTCCTGATCAACAAAGAATTAAAAACCTGTATGCAGTGGAAGCTGAAGCTGGTGTTCTCAGTAGCTGATGAGCGTGTCGTACCGGCGCTGTCCTGATGGTGGCGCTGTGTTTGCTCCGCTGTGAGCGTGTGGAGCTGATCTCTGAGCTGCTGGATCTCGGAGCGCAGGCTGTTTCTGTCCATGGCACACAGCGCTCCCATCAACTCCCTTTGCCGCGCGTCCTGAACACAACACACCCTTACAATCTGTGTTTACATTAATATCTAACACAGTGTTTCCCAATGACAGGCTGTCGGGTGAGCCGTGAAAAATGATCAAAAACTTCCTTATCTCTATTATATGTGACCCTGGAGCACAAAACCAGTCATAAGGGTCCATTTTTCGAAATTGAGATGTATACATCATCTGAAAGCTGAATAAATAAGCTTTCCATTGATGTATGGTTTGTTAGGATAGGACAATATTTGGCTGAGATACAACTATTTGAAAATCTGGAATCTGAGGGTGCAAAAAAATCTAAATATTGAGAAAATCATCTTTAAAGTTGTTCAAATGAAGTTCTTAGCAATGCATATTACTAATCAAAAATTACGTTTTGATATATTTGCGGTAGGAAATTTACAAAATATCTTCATGGAACATGATCTTTACTTAATATCCTAATGATTTTTGGCATAAAAGAAAAATGTATAATTTTGACCCATACAATGTATTGTTGACTATTGCTACAAATATACCCCAGCGACTTAACACTGCTTTTGTGCTCCAGGCTCACATATTTGATCATTATTATTTTAAACCAGTGCTATCGGTCATCGTTATGCCTGTGTGTGGGATTTACAAATATTCAACCAATGAAAAGCATTCAAAGGAGCTTGTGACTAAACCTCGTAACGCCATTGGATCCTCAAACTGTCAATCAAACCTCATAGCTCCACCCCTCCTCCATTCAGAATGAAGTGCTGCGACGCACAGTTTGAAGACAGACGTCTACCTCTTCACAATGCAACGGTAATAAAAAACTCATGTTTGAATAAGTACAGCGTTTCTTTACTCACTTTAAATGCTGTCTATAAAGGCGAATGTTTTTGTGTGTTTAACGAGCAGAGAAGATTCTTAGCCTAGTTGTAGCCAATACGCTTTTGTACGTTTTAAATATCCTGTGCATAGTGCTTCGTCTTTTATATCGTGAGATTGTATGTATATATATATATATATATATTTATTTATTTATAAATAAAAGTTATCATATATAATAAAATTATACGTTTTATTTATTAAACTGAATTTATTTTTAATTACTAATTTACATAAATGCATAACAGTATAATAAATTATTTGTATTGTTATGTTAATATGATTTTATTCAGATATTATTTATTCAGATATTGTATTATGATATATTATTTTATTCAAACATATTCAAACAATCTTGTGTGCCAGATGTCATGATTTAATCTTTCACAAGTGAGTGTATCACTAAGCGTGTGTGTGTGTAAGTGTGTGTGAGTGTGTGTGTGTGTGTGTGTGTGTGTGTGTGAGTAATCAAAAATTACGTTTTGATATATTTGCGGTAGGAAATTTACAAAATATCTTCATGGAACATGATCTTTACTTAATATCCTAATGATTTTTGGCATAAAAGAAAAATGTATAATTTTGACCCATACAATGTATTGTTGACTATTGCTACAAATATACCCCAGCGACTTAACACTGCTTTTGTGCTCCAGGCTCACATATTTGATCATTATTATTTTAAACCAGTGCTATCGGTCATCGTTATGCCTGTGTGTGGGATTTACAAATATTCAACCAATGAAAAGCATTCAAAGGAGCTTGTGACTAAACCTCGTAACGCCATTGGATCCTCAAACTGTCAATCAAACCTCATAGCTCCACCCCTCCTCCATTCAGAATGAAGTGCTGCGACGCACAGTTTGAAGACAGACGTCTACCTCTTCACAATGCAACGGTAATAAAAAACTCATGTTTGAATAAGTACAGCGTTTCTTTACTCACTTTAAATGCTGTCTATAAAGGCGAATGTTTTTGTGTGTTTAACGAGCAGAGAAGATTCTTAGCCTAGTTGTAGCCAATACGCTTTTGTACGTTTTAAATATCCTGTGCATAGTGCTTCGTCTTTTATATCGTGAGATTTCGGCCAAATGTATTAAACAACCAGAGAAACTGAGCGCCCATATAGCTACAATAAACTTTACAACCTGCGAACTGATGAAAACGTGATGCTGCTAATTTAGCTCTATCTATTAATTTATCTATCATATATAAAGCCAAAATAACAGCTCTGATGACGCAATGATTAATTATTGGGAAGAAGAAAAAAAAACACCTTTTCCCCTTTCTTTTTTATACATCGCAAAAAATATCGTATTGTGGACTTCATATCGCGATATTATCGCATATTGTATCGTGAAAATATCGTATAGTGGACTTCATATCGTGATATTATCGCATCATGAAAAAATATCGCACCGTGGACTTCATATCGCGATATCGTACACCGTATCGTGAAAAATATCGTATCGTGAGATTTTGATATCGATACATCCCTAATATCTAATATATGCAGTCAAACCAAAATTTATTCAGACACCTTCAACATTTCTCACATTATATCACAGTTTATTGGCTATAGTTTATAAAACGGTAATAAAATACAACCCTCTACATTGCGAGTAAATCACTCGCAAATGCGACTAAATCTTCACTCTGGCGACTAAATGATGTCTAATATTAGCCAATGGCTAATACATTCTCAGATTTTACTCGCCAGTGTGAGTTGGAGGCTAAGTATAAGTTAAGCACAGATATATTTTCACTCGCCGAACACTCTCTGACTGAGCGCTTCAGGTATGCAATGAATTCTGTTGAATAGCTGTCAGCTGTTAAATTTAATACACAATTAGATAAAACAATTTAGCTCAACTAATTACCAAGCATTCATTTAGTTCAGTCTGTGGTGTAAAAAGCTCGCATTAGCAATTAAAGAAAAAACACTTTAGCAAAACATGCTCAGGTCAAAGTGTCTGAATCATTTCTGATCCGGTAGTCCACTGTATGAAGAGTTTCTGGGTATAATGTGTCACAGTTTACTTTATTTTGCTCTCCTCACTTACATAAATGAACTATAGTGTCCTGCACCCACTAGTAAAATAAAATATCAACAATGATATCTGGTGTCTGAGTAGTAATGGCGCATGCTAACCTGCTCCGCTAGCGCTCTCTCCAGCTGGTTGAGATGAATGACAGCGTCAGCCGTGTCCAGTCGCTCCAGATGAGAGTATAAAATGTTTTTTAGCACGTCTCGCTCCTGAACAAACACCTGCTGAACAGCTGAAAGCAGCTCCGCTCGCCAGTCGCCATCCAGCTACAGACACAGAGAACACCAAACACGTCTGAACTAGCGCAGGACCAAATACGCTAAAATAAACCATAACAGGAACATAAAGGAATACATGAACTGATCAAATACATTTTTAAATGTAGTCCTAATGTATTACTTTTACCTTTATAATTTATAATTACTCTTTCATTTATAAATATTTTTCAAATGTAGAGTTTTTTTTTAGTCCAATCAGGACCGCCTCTCCCTCATTTCCATGTTGCACAAAGTAAATAAATAAATAAATAATAAATAGTAATTAATTCAATTATAAAATGCAAGGTTAAAAATGAGTAAGTTACAATAAATTGGAAAAAAAAAACACTCGAAGCTTAAACACTTCATAAAAATGTATAAAAATAACAGAAATGTAAAATTGAAATAAATATTAAATTAAAAACAATCAAATTTATAAATAAATAAATACAGAAATAAATATAAACAAATGAATTCATAAATAAATAAATAAGTGAAAGAATAAAAAATTTAAAACAAAAGGAAATATTTCACAAAGGGCTAAATATAATAAAAAAGAATAAATTTTGAAATTAAAAAAGCACAATAAAACTTGCTAAAATTAATTCAATCATTAAATGCGAAATTAAAAAGAATAAGTAAAAATAAATCGAAATAAAACACTCAAAGAAGCTTAAACACTTCATAAAAATTAATAAAAATAACAGAAATGTAAAATTTAAATGAATTATTTTAAATTAAACAATCAATCAAAATTAAAAATGCACACTAAAGTTAAATAAACCTCATAAAGATTCAAATAAAATGAAAATGACTTACTAAAAACAAAAGAAGAATGCAAAATTTAAATACAAAGGATTTTAAAATAAAAACAATCAAAATGAATCACAAAAGCGTCAAATCAAAATAAATACAGGTCAAAGACGAAAAAGGGTTTAAGCATAAAAACAATAAGTGTAATACTGCTTTAAATTGTTGTGGTTTTCCCCAAATTTAAAAAAAAAAAATTCTGTTTAATTTAATTGCAATTTTGTTTTTGTTTTTCTGAGCAAAAAATAAATATGATACATTTTCCCCTGATTTACAGAAGACACCCACTAAAATATCATTCAGTGTAACAATCTTCTCAGGCATATTTACAACAAAAATCAATTTATGACACATTAAAAGACTAATTACTTTCACCCCAAATACTAATTAGTAGTAATTTTACATTTCTAAAATGTGCCACTATCCTAGGTTTCGCCCATTTGTCAGTAAGAATGTTTTACTCATGTAAAACACAATAAAATTTAATATGCTCCCTTATTATTTTATATATTTTAATATGTACACGTCAGTATAAGCATGTTGTTTGAATTTTTAGATAAATATTGCGTTCCACTGAATGACAATGTAACATTATTTCAACCAAATTTTGACATTTTATTCTCCAAAACCTTAAAAGTAGACAATTTGCTTACATTTAAAGTGCTTTCTATTGACATAAAATCACTTTTGTACATTTCTTTCGATGCGGACATCTTACCGTCTTTGACCCTTATATAACTGTAAATATATATTTATACAAATACATATATATAACAAGTAAAAATAAAACAATTAAAATTACATTTATGTAGGACTAAATATAATTAAAACTAATTGCATTTGTTTAATCGTGCCATTTATTCCGTTATTTTCCTATTATTACTTAATTAGTTTACTTGTAATCTCTACAAGAGTTCATGCATAATTAAATAAGCAATGTGTGTCATCAAACACAACATAATTTTTTCATAGCTTCACGGAAGTGGCCTGCATTGTGAAGGAGTTTGTGTGTGTTCACCTGTGTGTCCGTCTGCAGCGCGCTGACGAGGAGCTGGAGGGACTCGACGGTGTTGATGAAGGCGTCTCTCTCGTTGCTCCAGCTCTGAGGAGCTCGATCCGCTTCAGACAGCGGCAGCTCGGAGAGAGACAGCACCTGCATGCCCTCCTGATGCACCTCACGCAGCAGGCTCTGTGTGAACACAGCTCCTTTTACAGGCATTTACATTACATCCAATAATCAGAGCAAGGATTTAATCGCATTGTGATGTCTACATGTCACTCCCGTTTACATGCAATTTCCATTATTCTTATTATTCGCTAAGAATTGTGGTTATTTTTTCACTGCCATTATTCACATACCCCACTGCACAGCACAAAATTGGACTCAGAAAGAGCAGTGTGTGTCTCACACTCACACACACTCACACAGACACTCACACAGACACTCACACTCACACACAGACACAGACACACACACTCACACAGACACACACATACACAGACACACTCACACACAGACAGACACACACAGACAGACACACACAGACACAGACACACACACACACACTCTCACTCTCACTCTCAC